CACCTGCATTAGATGAACACCCTGTGTGGGATGAACACCTGCATTAGATGAACACCCTGCGTGGGATGAACACCTGCATTAGATGAACACCCTGCGTGGGATGAACATCTGCATTAGATGAACACCCTGCGTGGGATGAACACCTGCATTAGATGAACACCCTGCATGGGTGAACACCTGCATTAGATGAACACCCTGCATGGGATGTCAGGCCATCACAGGGCACACATTCCTGCACCATGGGAATTTAGAGATACCCGTCTACCTAACAGAATGTCTTTGGACATGGGGAGCATAAACTCTCTCTCTCTCACACACACACACACACACACACAGAGCAGGGGTAAGAACTGACTCCAAAACCCAAGTGAGGCGGCTGTACTACACTACCGCCCACCCCAAAATTATAATAGTTTAAAATCATTTCTTTTTGTCTTGCATCCAGGATGTTACTGGGCAGACCTGAGCCCACACTGACCCTAACCTGATATGCCTTGTGGCAAATCTTGCAACTGTAGGGCTTGCCCCCGACGTGGGAGACCATGTGCTTCTCCAGCAGGGCGGCGCTGTTGAAGATCTTGTTGCACATGTCACACCGGTGGTACTCTTTGGGGTGGCACTCCTGGATGTGCTTCCTGTGCTCCTCCAGAGAGGAAAAGCTCATCCGGCACTTCTGACAGTCATGGGGGTCAGCAATGTCTGGGGAGGGGGGGGGGTGGAGATTCTGGTAAATATCTGGCCCGAGACAACAGGAGTGGAGTACAAGCAGGAGGTCATGTGACTCACTGTGGAAGGTGTGCAGGTGGACGGACAGCCCATTGGCCTGGCTAAAGCCCTTGCCACACTCGCGGCAGACATAAGGCTTGTCCCCGGTGTGGGTACGCACGTGCCGCGTCAGCTCTATGGACTGGGCGAACAGCGCCTCGCAGTACTGACAGGCGTACATTTTACCTGGGGGGGGGGGAGAAAGAAGTACGTTGACGGCCATCTCCCAGGTAACCTTATGTCAAGAAGCAGCAGCGCCCCCTGGTGGCTGTACCCTCAGAGTGCTTCTTCTTGGTGTGGTAGGAGAGGGCAGCGGCCTGGCTGAAGCTCATGTCGCAGTGTCGGCAGTGGAAGGGCCTCTCGCCCGTGTGCAGGCGCTGGTGGTTCTTCAGGGACGAGTTGGCGGCGAACTTGGCGCCGCACTCCTTGCACGCGTACGGCTTCTCATCAAAGTGGTCGGTGCGCTTGTGGTACAGCATGCCTGTAGGGGGGGGGGTGGGGGGGGGTTGATGATGAGTCATGTGATCTCCCACCTGGGGTATTAGGGGGTATCGGGGGTATCAGCATCTGAGTGACGCATCCTTTCACAAGAGCCATAAGACCTGAGGGGTGGGCGAAGGTCTTGCCGCAGAGGTCACAGGCCACCGACTCCTGCTTCCTCCTCTTCCGGCGGGGCTGGTCCTCGTGCGCCTCTGCCAGGTGCTGCTGCAGGGCGTGGGGCGTGGGCAGCTCCAGAGCACAGCGAGGGCACCGCTGGCTGGCCTCCTGCGACAGGCGGCAGCGCTTGCGGTGCACCTCCATGCGGCAGCGGAAGGCGAAGGCCTTGCCGCACCACTGGCAGAAGCACTGCTTGGCCGCCGCCCGCTTCCTGCTGGCCTTGGGCTGCTGTGCGTCGCCCGCCTGTGACTCCGCCTCCTGGGAGGGGTCGGCCGCATCCGTCGGCTCCGCCTCTTCACCTGGGAGCAGAGTGTCGCGAGTTAAGACATGGCAGCTCACCAGTAGATCACCTCTAGATCACATCTCAAATTGTACTAGCCTTCAGCTAGTTAGCATGAAAGAGGATTAGCATGAATTTAAATCAAATTAATGACAAGGACAGGTTCTGCTATTCCAAGAGGCTAAAGGACACACTGCTTATAGTCATCTATTGGCGTTTTTCCACTGTCATACAGCAACCAAGGAGAGACTAGTTACAGAGCGGTTCCAGCTCGCTTCAGTTTTCCACTGCAGAACGGTCGGCTCGGTAAAGGTGCTGCCGGGTTGCTGCCGTGAGCGAAGAGATGCTTATTTACTGTTCACATGGTGTACATTGTGGGTTTACTATGTGCTAATTTCCGCTAGCGTGTCTGTGAGAAACTCCATCTTATGCTAATTCCACTAGCATCGAACGTTGGTGGAATTAACATTAAGAACCCATTCCGTTCAGCTGTTCTGTAGTACTATTTACAGTAGATGGCTGGAAATCTTCCAAGCTAACGGGAATGCGCTGGTGCTCTGCAATGTGCGATGCTACCAATCATAAATAATATACAGAATATTCCCTTCTTTTCCTTCGGATAATTCATGTATATCGAAGAATAATACAGGTTCCTCTGTGCATTTTGACTAATCAGATTGTGATGCAATCGGCTTGGTTTGGTCACGTTTTTAAGCCTGCAGGTAGGTAGCACAGTAAGTAATCTCAGTGCAGGTAAGATAATTTACAGAGGAAAAACGTCAATTACGGCTCGGTTCTTGGTGACACTGGAGAAGCGCCATATGGCTAAACCTCTCATTATTGGGCACGTCCGTCAAACCTGAATGCCGTCTTTTAAGATGATGTCATGCTGTGGTGTTCATGTTCTGCTTTGCACCATTTACAGATCACTTCATTTTCATTCACCTTCAATGTGCAGTGCTTCCACACAACTGATGAAATTCTGATCGATGCGTTTTTGTTTTTTTTTTTTATCGAATTTAATGCCGTAATAGTGACTGCTGTAAAACACATTAGCATTTATCAGCCAAGGGACAGGCAGCCGCATGACTCACCGGCCCGCTCCAGCTCCTGGAAGAGCGGCTCCAGCAGCGGCAGGCTCTGCCGGTTGAGGGACAGCAGCCTGCAGAAAGTCTGAGCGCAGAGCTGCTTCTGCTCCAGCACCCGGACCAGGACGTCACCCACAGACGGGCTCCCCTCCTGGGAACCGCAGGCGCTGAGAAACTGCGAGGGTGAGGAACAGTCAGGCCGCCGGAGGGGCCTAGGAGGGGGGCGAGCGCCGCTAACATCGCAGGCATACCTCGGGGATCTCCTCTGGGGGGTCCTCGGCCACCCGTAGCCCTGCCTCCAGAACGGCCAGCTGCCCCGGGACCTGCAGGATCAGGGCCTTGTGCTTCAGCAGCAGGTCAACATGGAGGCTTTCTGGGTCCATCGCTGAAAGGAGGAATCCGAAGCATTAACTCCCCCCAGGTCTTTAACCCGTGGACTCCAATCTTTTTTTACAGGGACAGGTACTAAAACAATAATCTAGGGGGGGCCAGGTTAAAAGCTGTCAATAGGGGGTGCGGGGGGGTAAGGTTGGGATTCATATAAAAATGTGGCCACTGGCAGCTCGTAGTCGACACGTCGGCGACCAGAGTACACTAATAAAGTTAGCTGGTAACTTGATGACGCACAATGAAGCATGTTAATTTATGCAGCAACGTGAAGGTGATGGCTGATTATTGATATCGACCAGGAATGTACGAAAGATCGATCTGTTGATTGTGACTGACTGATTGGCAACCTCTCCTCTCTGGTACTTTCAGTAGTACTGCTAAGAATAGAGTAGTACTTGTAGTACAGCTCACTAAATAGCGGTGATTTAATCCTTAATTATACTCTTTCCAGCCGACCTCCACGTGGCCATTGCTGACCTTCACCTGACCTCAGCACAGAAACCCACCACCCTGAATGAGGCTCTGTGCTCCTGGCTGCTCCCGGACCTCCTGGATGAGGGCCTCCAGCGGGGCGTCCTGAGCCGCTGCCCTGAAGAGCAGCCTCCACACAGACAGCGATGAAAGGCTTCTTCCCTCTAGGGCCTCAGACAGTAGCCCATCCAGGCACTGAGCGCTGCTGGCCTGCTGAAGCAGGTCCTTGGCGCGCTGCAAGAAAACAGGCAACACAGGAAGAATGCGGTCAGACCGAGGGAGCACAGGCAACACAGGAAGAATGCGGTCAGACCGAGGGAGCACAGGCAACACAGGAAGAATGCGGTCAGACCGAGGCAGCACAGGCAACACAGGAAGAAGGAGGTCAGACTGAGGGAGCACAGGCAACACTGAAAGACCGCAGTCATGCCAAGGGAGCACAGGCAACACAAGAAGGTGGTCAGACTGAGGGAGCACAGGCAACACAGGAATAAGCTGATCACTTGGAAGGAGCTCAGGAGACACAGGAAGAATGCAGTCTAAGAGCGCAGGCAACACTGGGGCTGTTTTCCAGTTGACACTTGTTACAAATTGCAGCATCACAACACTTCACACGTAACCATCATCTCTCTTGGTAATAGTTGCTACCTCTCTGTCTTCAGCAAGGAACCCCGTCATGGTCTCCAAGCTATGCAGAAGTAGCTGAGGGTCAGACACAGCCTGCAAAAGTCTTCTGCGGTACCTCCTCAAGAGCTCAGATCCGTCTGATTCCTCCTGGTCACCTAGCAATGTAGATGCCCACACCATCATCACCATCATCATTCACATGCGTGACATACATGTAACTGATGTGTCGATGGGCTGCCTTTACTATACCCTACGGGGCATCTGATTTAAATATTTCATGATGGTATTAGGAAATAACCAGACAGCATATCTGCCCAAGTGGAGAAGCAGTCTTCAGTCCTATCCATGACATGGTGCCAATTCTACTCTCATTCCCTATGCCCAAGTGCCCAGGTCATGTTTTCCTACTTGCCATCCCACCCAGAGACCACGCTGCAGTTTTCCCCACATATGTAGATAAGCGCCCATTGTATCCTCAGCCTTGTGCTTTCTGGGACAGATTCTCAGCTCCCTGCCACTCTGTACTTTATAAGCAGTTATGGAAGACGGATGGAAAGCCTGGATCTATATAGGCGCATTATAAAATAAAATATTTTATAATATAATATTCAGAGTTGCATTACTGCTCTTCATTGATGGCACAGATGATTTTTGGGCACCTGTGGGGTCCTCCTGGGCTAGGAGACCTTGCAGTGTGGGACTGCTGTCTTGGAGCTCTTGGAGCAGTAGCATGAGGTCGCCCTCGGTCAGGCCTGCTTCTGATTGGCCCACGGCAGCCAGCAGGCATGCGGCCACCTCACGGGGGGTCCCACTTCTGCAGCACTCAGACACCACCTGGGGCAGGGCACAGATGGGGTCGCACTGCCGCTTCTGTACTGCGCCAAAGATGTCGCGGGTCCACGCAGACGCCACCCTCACCTCTGTGATGCGTCCCCCCGCGCAGCGTCCTGCAGCCGCCGTCAGCCGATCCCCCAGGGACTCGATGTCAGCCAGGGCGGCGGCCAGCTCCTCTGCATGCTCCAGCAGCACAGAGCCACGCCCCGGCCTCTCCTGATCATTCACATCTGTCACATGAACACAAGAGGGCGCCAGACCGCCTCATCAGTTAAAGGATGATCTTTTCCATAAATGAGTGTCACGTGGCTGTTCAGCAAACTGACAACCCATCTCTCTTGGCAGTGTAGGCAGCTGGGGGGGGGGGGGGCAGTTGTTCCACTGGATGTGAGACTCTCAAGGTCCTTAATCTAAGTGAAGCCAGAACCTGACCCAGGTCTAGACTTGGAGCTGCTGTATGACTCCCATCAAGTGACGCCATGGTGACTGACCTGCTTGTGCCACCCAGACTCTGCCAAGCACGTGATTAGCGCCTCCAGTCCACATATCTACATACTTTTGAGAGCTAACATACCTAAACACACCTAAACCCGAAATACATTTTTATTATGTGGATCTGAATTATCCATCTCTGCAGAGAAAGAGGTGGCAATGTCACTCTGGGTCCGCTCTGCTTACCCGCATCCTTGATGGCGGTGTCCTCCTCTTCCTGGCGTCCCGCCTGGCCCTCCAGCGCAGCGCCCAGCTCCGGCCGGTGCTCCCTGAGGAGGCCGAGCAGCGAGAGCAGCGTGTGGGCCGACAGGCCCCCGCCCTCCGTCACGCTGCGCAGGAGCCTGTGGAAGGCGCTGGGGCCGGGGGAGCCTCCTCTGCAGCATTCTAAGATCACCTGGGAAGAAGGGAGGCACAGCAAGAGTGATCAAAATATTATGCACATGATATGAAACTTTTAGCTTGACAAGGGTCATAGAAAATACGGGGCACAAGACAGGGGGACACCCTGGACGGGATGCCAGTCCATCACAGGGCACAAGGCAGGGGACACCCTGGACGGGATGCCAGTCCATCACAGGGCACAAGGCAGGAATAACCCAGGATGGGGATCCACCCAATCGTAGGACTCACACATAATTCACTCACACATGCAGACCTACAGGTACTCTGGTAACTCCAATTAACCTCAGCATGTTTTTGTGGGGAAACCCCACGAGGACACGGGGAGAACATGCAAACTGCATAAACACGGAGCCACGGCGGAGACTCATTCCCTGTCCCAGAGGTGCGAGGTCACAGTGCTGACCACTGTGGCACCGTGCTGCTCTTGTTTTGCCATCACATTTTCTTTTAATTATTAATTAATGAATAATTATTATAATTAATAATTAATCTTTTAACACTACTAGCAGATAGAAATTTCTCCATGGTTCTTCCAAGTATGTAAGCATTTACAGTGGGAAAGTTGCTGTTATCTTTCATTATGCTACTAGTTATAAGAGTTTGATGTAGTCAGTACGCATTTCCTAATTTATGCATTTTAATTATTTTATTTTGTTAGCGTCATATAACGTGTTCACAATATTTTTAATATTAATGAAGATTTCAGTTTTGAAATAGATCTGCCCCCTGCTCAACCCCCCCACGCCCCGTTATGTTTTTTTTCCCTTCATCTGCCCCCCCCCTCCCTCCCTCCCTCCAATTCCTTTGCACCCCACTGGGGGGAGGACCCCACAGTTTCAACACCTCTGCTCCAGAATAATCATTGCTATTTAAAACATGCACATGATTGATTAATAAAAGGCTACTGGTAAAAGTAGAATACTGATATAAAACAATTGTGTACTGATTAATGTTTACTTTGGAAAAGCTTGTCGAGACCCAACCCCAAGCCCACAGAACGCCACACTTGCCTTCTTCTCCACACCCGGAATGCCTTCCCACATCTCGGCAGCCTTCACCCACAGTTGGACATCCCCAATAATCCTGGCGATCTTGTCCTGGCTCTGTGTCAGAAGCTCCAGGTTCTCTGAACTGTCCTGCAAGCCTGAGAGGAGAAGGAATGAGGTGAGGTTGAAATGCACCCACTATATCAGCCGCAAACTGCATAACGCATAAGATGGAAAGAACACAAAGGGTGCACCTGTGGAAAGCAGAGAAACACACTTCAGTTCGTCAGCAACTGCCACGAAGCCTGGAGACGAGGCATGCAGCCCTCGCTTACCTGCTTTGTCTGTGGCTTTCTGGTGAGCATCTTCAGAGGAGGAATCCTGAGGAGGGCTGGAAAGCATCTGATCCACCTGCTGGGACACTTTCACAGCACCCTGTACCTCAGACTCCACAGCCCCTAACTCCCTCTGTGCTGGGGCTTCCAAAACTCCTGGGTCCTGTCTTTGGTTTGGGTCAGACACTGTAGGGGAGGCCCCCTGGTTCCCAGTAGACCTCGGCTGCACTTGGACCAGGGATGGTGCTGGAGCTGCGGCTGGCTGCCTCATGAGGCTGGCCAGGATGTTCTTGCACCCAACGGCCACATCGAACATCTGCAGGCTGTCAGCTGCGGCAATGACCCGGGTGAAGTTGTGCTTGCCAGGTGGCAGCCTGCCTGTGTAGACCATCTCCAGGAGGCTGGAGAACTCCTGCGAGGTCACCAGGGCGGGGTCTATGGAGACACTGTCCGAGCTTTCCAGCAGGGACTTGAAGAGCAGGCTGGAGGCGGCTAAAACTAGCTTGTGGGCCTGGTGGGGAATATCACCCACCAAGATGGTGCAGTCACAGAACTGACCCTCCTTGCGCAGGGCATGCAGCTGCTGCATCAGCTGCCTGTTGTAGTTGGGCAGTTCCATTGATACCTGCACAGCACAGAGAGATGATGCTTAAATCACACTTTCCGAAGCGGCAGCAACAAGACATCAGCTAACGGGATCACGAGTGAGCGTGTCTCCTGTTTGCCGAAAAATGTGACAACATTACAGTTTCTCATCATATGACGTTCATACGACAGAAGGAAATATTGTTCAAAAAAGTGATCAGGAACAACAGCTTTTTCAAAATTTTATTCACAGGAAACATCCACAATTTACAAGATGAACACATTAACTGGATAGTTGATCGAGTATAAGCTGGTCACAAATCATATAGCACCTTCATCTAATCAGTGTTAAATATACAAATTCGGTTAATATAATCAATTTTCCATCAAACAAGTAATACAATTACTATAAATATGCAGTCAATTAACAGTAAAATGTCTTAAATTAATTACTCAACGGTACTGTATATCAGATAGGTGGTTAGCTGATATTTTTCAATCAAAACCCATTAAAGCCGAGTACTATTTCAAAGTTAGTCAAACAGTAGCAAACACTGAATAAACACATAAATCCGATGCCCGTCCCTTAAATTACAACACAAGTCCTGAACGGACCGCAGACACGATATTAAAGCTTAAAATTCATGTGTGACTCTGTCCAGCAGGACCACTAACTGTACAGATCCAACCTCCACCACACAATCTGAATTTCTGCTTTCTTTACCTTGATTCTTATTCAAATATTCCAGCTCTTTATTTAAACTCCATCGGCGGACAAAAATTATGGAGAACAATAAAGATACCATATTTTGAACATGGCGACTCCGTTCCACAGGAAGGTGGGCACTGCGCAGCCGCTAGCACAGCCACGTGGCCTAGGAAGTCATGTGACGTGGTACCGTTTTTTTTTTTTTTTGGGAGTTACCAGTGATGGTGCATGTTCTGGTGTAGCACCGTGATAGCCGTGATTAGTATAAACAAATGATGATACCTCGGAGTATGAACTGAAATGTGTCATCCGAGTTCCATCTAAAATTTTAAAGTGTGGTCTTGCATTTTTGTCTCCCATCATTAACTGCAGTAACTTGTGAAACTACTGTTTTTTCATTAGTAAAAAGTCTGGTTTTCTGTTTAATATGCACCAATAATATGTAGACCATACAGAGACTTTGGCTGCACTTCTTCTCTAATGGTATCCATTTTTAAATTTGTTTTAGCGATAATATTTTTTTAAATATTCAAAACTGCCTCAGAATAAGCGGCGACAAAACAACAAAAAATCAAACATTCCGAAATAAAATTAGTTTACAATCGAATTAGTTTTAGTATAATTGTTTAATATTTTTTCTTATTTCTTGAGCTATCTTACGTCACCATCTTGCGAATTTCTGTAATTTGCACCTTTAGAACTAAATTCGTAAATAGGCTACATGTCCTGGACTCCTACGTAAAATTTTTTAGTTAAATATAGCGTAATTTTGCGGTACCACTTTACAATAAGGCTCCCTTTTGCCACTTATAAATGGTAGTAATTAACTCATTAATAAAAAGAAAACTGTGTTATGTTGTTTAAAATTGTTTATTAATAATTTACAAAGTGTTACAACAAATTAATAACCAGATTATAAACCATTGATAAACCTTTTATATTGATAGCCTTATTATAAAGTGGCACCAATTTTGCTAACCGAGATAGTCTTCCTATGTAGACTTGCTGTCCTTTAATCTTTTAGCGGATCTCACACGTCCTAGAAGACCTGCTTCCACACCATCCTGATTTAGAGCCATATTCCCTGGACAGCCGCCCGCCGGTGGTCCCTTATTAGGCGTTGTGTGCCGCGGAGATTCACATGGGACAGACGCACACCTGTTGAGTAGAGCAGTTGTGAGCACTTAGCCATCCTCAGGGGGATCCGAAGTTGTTTACCGTAATTCCCAAACATCTGATGGCGAAAACACTTTGTGGTGAAAGTACACTTGAGCCAGAGGGGTTTATATTACGACGTCCCTTAATTATTAACTATCGGAGTTTATCTATTATAGTGATATGGGTGTGCGTCTATAAACTTTTCAGAAATGCTTATTATTACTCATATGGAGAATAACTGCTGTCGACTGAAGTTACACAAGCACCCTAAACTCTGAAGCTTTTTTATTTGTTTCAACCTTGATTTGTTTATTATTATTATTTCACTTTTAAGTGCTTCAGTACATTTTCAGATGGCATGTGATTCAGCATTAAGATGTTATAGCAAATAATACGTATAAAACATTGCTAATAGACGTTTCACTGGACGAGTTGTAGTGAAAACCAGCAAGCGCATCGCATTCACTATTTTAAGATGCTGGATGAGACAGCGATACCCCCATGACGACGCGTCCATCTGGGTACCATTTGATTTCCACCAAAAATAGGATCGCATGCGCCTAAATGCCATAAAAGGCTCATGCGGATACAAAACCCCAAAGGGAAACGTCAGTCTTTCAAAATGCACAACAGAATCTACTTTCTGACCGATATTTGCTGCTTTGGTGGAGGGTCATTGCAGTCTGAGGCTCTGACAAGATGGTAAGTGGGCTGCCTTATTTTATGTGTTTGTTTTTTTGTAAACCTCCGCATCTTGATATATTACAAAGTATGTAAAGTAATTTTGTAAGCGCATTTATTTATAATGATATAATATATGCCTTATACAACATAGCCTATAACACAAAGATCGATTGACAAGTTACCAAGTGATCGAAAGTTAATAATCCGAGAACAGTGTTTTAATCGTGGGAATTTTGCAGATGTAAAATCATGCAGCTCCCGGCCGTAGCCAGGTGCTTTTGTGGAGAAATTCTGGATCCCCTCGGTAGACTTTGCCGACCGGACCCCCGGCGGTAGATTTTGGGCCCCCTCAATGGGTATCAATACCGCTCCGACGTCCCTGATGCAGCTAATTATCTTTTTTGTTTGATTGTGCAGGATTTAAAATTGACTTGCTGCACAATTTGTCTTCTCCTGATGAGAACAGAATAGCAGAGGCAAGCGTTTCTGCAGAGAATCTTATGCTTCATAAACAAAATAAATGCAATCAATATTTAATTAAATACTTGAAGAGAAAATGATTAGTTAATGTATGATACTTTCTTATAATTGCTTTTTAATTACCATAATACTACGTGCTGAGCGTACCACGTAGCTAGATCACTTTAACTTACCTGTGTATTTGCACCTGTGCAAATATACCCAGGGGTGGATTAACGCACAGGCTAGATATGGCTTAAGCCTAGGGGCCCCACGTGTGCCAGCCTGCAAGGGGGCCCCCATTGGCACGGAGGGGGGTGGGGTTGGGGGCCCCACAGACTACTGTAGCCTAGGGGCCTCTGTACACCTTAATCCGCCCCTGAATATACCCCATTGCTCAGCTTACAATCGAACTGTCATTTATTTGTAATTTTAAAAATCAGACTATTTTCCCTTTAATATTTGCCAACGTTTCCAAATTCACCCTTATTCTTGGAGAGGATGCGAGTCATTCGCAAAACACACACACACATAGTGACATACACGAGTTATGGAGGGCAATTTAAAAACATGTAAGCCGCATATCGTTCTCTGGTGATATTTACGAGAACATGCCGCTGTCTTGGTTCGTAGGCGAGCACTCTGACCCAAGAGCAGATCGCGGAGTATAAAGGGGTGTTTGAGATGTTCGATGAGGAGGGCAACGGGGACGTGAAGACGCAGGAGCTGGAGCGCCTCATGAGCCTGATGGGGATCAACCCCACCAAGCGCGAGCTCAGTCAAATGGCCAAAGACGTGGACAAGGACGGTGCGTCTCCCCCCGGGGGCTCCAGTCACATCACACGCGATACGTGTAGTGTGGTGTAGTGGAACAACTGGAGGTTGTACTTTAAAAGGAGAATAACGATTAAACTACAACAAATCAGCATGTTCAAATATGTAGCCAAGTCATACCGAGCCTATAATTGAACAGACAACATATGACCAACCCGTACCGAAATATATAGACATATGTCTCTATGTGTCATAATCAATCACATAGCGAAATCGATGCATATAGAGAGACATATATCTAGTCACGGAACGAATGACTTATGTTCTCAACACAATGGGGATAACATGTTACACCTAAGGGACAAATTCTGAAAACATCCTTAAAGAGACAGAAGAGGAATGTTTTCAGTGTTTTATATCTTGTTTGCAAAATATCACTGTATGATAATGATATAAGTCCCTTCTGGATCCTAAAACGTACACATGGTTGCGGTAATGCAAGCGAAAGTCTGTCACTATAGCAACTGCCATCGACTGTGACTGTTGCCTGCAGTGACGTCTAAAATAGCTATCACCCCTAAACTTGTAGATTGAAACTGGTGAAGCCTTAGGTATCCGGAGAAATATCCTTCAACTAATTATCCAGTCCGGGGTTGCAGAGAGCCTGAAGCACAAGGCAGGAAGCGCAGGTCACAAGGCAGGTGAATACCGCGGGCAGGATGCCAACTCGTCACAGGGCACCTAACCACGTCTTAGGAGTGTGGGATGAAACTGGGATCCATTAAAGTGCATCACATGCACACTGCTGAGGTCCTACACACAGAGGCACTGCGTCAGCCTTCTTGTTGGAGGAACTGCTGGTAATAATGTAGCCACCATCTGAAAGCCATAAGGCCCAGTCATACTTATGCAGTTACACTTCAGTTCTGGCGTTACTTCAACCATCTTTCCTGACACTTACTTTGTATTGGGAACATGTATTGTAATTTTGGGAACATAAATCACTTCTCCCTCAATCCCAATCACTTTTCACGCATTTCAAATGACTACATTGTGTATCATTTAATGGCCTCGTGAATCAATATATGAGAACTAAATAAGAGGATGTGAACTAAAAAGTGGGTAATTTAACGTAGCCATGACTCGATGAGAGGAGGTGTATCTACTGGTTTGGGGGTCGAAACCTGCCCTCACTCTGTGCGCGTGGACTTTGGACATACTTCTTCTGTCGTTTGCATTTTCTCCCACAGTTGAAAAGCATGCAGTTTAGGCTAATTTGTGTCTATAAATTGCCCATAGAGTGTGATTGTGAGTGTATGGATGTATGTTCCCTGCAATGAACTGAAATCCCAACTATGAGTGTCGCTGCAGGCTGATAGTGCCTCTGTACTGCGGAAGATGTTGGAAGATGGACGATTATTTGAGGAGAAAAGGAAGGACACTTTGCTTTCCGGAAGGGTCTTCTGCATAGCAGAATTGCGTAATATGTGAATTCCTCTAAATAACACAACCTCCAAATTAAGCAACACATTTGTCCACATGATATGGTAGCCTGTTTGATAAAACATTTATATTGATCTCATTAAATTAGTTAAGACTGCACCGCAAATGCAGTCAAATCAACTTTACAAGATACTAATGCACAGTAAGTACTGTAGCATATCAAATGCAATTAAACGGAGTACTCTGCCAGAGACATTCATATAATTTTTTTCCAGTTGTGTTGATGTTCGTTAGTCAGCACTAGAAGAGAGAAGAAAATAGGGTTAAGGGCCTTGCTCAAGTAACCAATGGTGGGATCACTCTGCCGACCAAGGGATTTGAACCGATAGCCTTCTGAGTCCCAATCCAAAGAGCACCCCCCCCCCCAACAAATTAACCATTTTTAATATTTTAATGCATTTTTTTGTCAGTGCATAATTCCATGATGTTTTACAGTTTTAATCTCTATAATTATTCTAAAACATAGAGAATTGTAGAAATAAACTTTTCTATGGGTAGGTGTGTCCAAACTTTGCATATGTATTGCCTTTACAGGTAAAGGCATTTTCAACTGCGAAAGGTTCCTGGGCCTAATGGCACTGTACCACGAACGGACCAAGAACCAGGACGAGGAACTACGGGCAGCTTTCAGAGTTTTTGACAAAGAGGCCAAGGGATACATCGAGTGGGACACTCTTAAGTATGTCAGTGGACGTCTTCACTCTCATATCGTTTAATAATTGATCGCATTGTATTGGGCTGGGGAAGCTGAGAGTGCGTTTAATGGCCGGATGGCTATGGGCCGCACTGCGATAAGCCTTTCCGATGAGCCGAGGACCATTTGCCTGTGGGTAAGAGGCTATTAGCAGATGCTACATCAGCACAGCAGAGCTAATAATATCTACCTGACAAATGTTTTGGACACAGAGCAGTGGAGAGGCTAATGGCTCAGGTGGGCACTGTGTTTTTCCAGGGATGATTCAGGTTGGTTACTGGCTCTCGGTGACATTTCAGGTACGTCCTGATGAATGCCGGGGAGCCCCTGAATGCTGAAGAGGCAGAGCAGATGATGAAGGAGGCCGATAAGGATGGAGACGGAACCATAGATTATGAAGGTAATGAAGGCAGATGAGTTTGCCATCTTGGTCTTCAGAACATCTATTTCAGCATTAGGTGGAGAAATGAGGCGTGGAAACCCACAGTGACTGGGGTTATTGTACAGTGTCATTGGTTTTACCCAGCAGGATGCAATAAATTAACCAATGGGAAGTGAGATAAGCGATTGGCTCCTAGGTGGTGCTTCTTTCTCCTTAATTTAATAGCCTAGTTTAAACCGTACCTTTTTTTTCCCAACACAGTTAATAAAACGTTTAATTTGCCCCCTAGAGTTTGTGGCCATGATGACAGGAGACTCTTTCAAGATGAACTGACGGGAAGAGCAAGCATGGCGCTGACGCACAGAGGGATCTTCATGGATACTGTGGACTTTTGCAGTCTGCATGCCCACATCGTACCTGCAAAGACAGCATTTTTTTTTTGCCTCTACCGGACATTCTCCTCTCCTCTGATTGGCTCACACACCACATATGCACACAAGCTTAGCATGGTTTAACACAGGTGGATTAGTGGTTTTTTTTTTTTGACTCATCTTACTTTCAATAAATATTAAGACCATTTTCAGTGTTTCCAAAAAACATTACACAGAATTAAAAATAGTAAATGGGGAATATTGCATTCATAACTTGGAAACAATAAAAATATATCATTTTATCGCTGTGAGCTATTTGCAGAGTGACTGTCAGTACTGCCGGCCTTCAGGGAAATAGAGGCCCCTTGTTTGCCCTCTGCCACGTGATGAAGGGTGCGGGTGAGGCTCACTCCGTCACCCTTCTGGTGCCCCACCCCACCCCCCAGGCAAATAATCACTCTGCTATAAGTCCAGGCTCGCATGTTCACATCTGGCCCTAGTTCTGCAGTGACTTGGAATGCTTTGTCCCAAGCCTGTGTGGGATTTGGTTAGTCCAGCCCAAAGGGATCCATTTCAGCCTTTGCAAGAGGGTCCTGTGATGAACGTCATGTGTATGACTACAGCAAATAACATTAGCATGACCTGAGAATAAGAGAAACACCAAACTGCTAATCTGACTGCTGCAATCTGATAGAAATTGTGACTGACTTTCTATTCACCAACTGGATAATTCCTGTTAAGTCTAATATATATACTTAAGCTATATCCAAATTCCTGAACTTTAGGGAAAAGCTGACAGCCTTTAGCATCGTAGGTGTCCTGTAATAATAATGATAGTAACCACACAGATAACCAGGGGTGGGGGGGGGTAATTGCTCTTAACTCCCTGCGTCTCCCTCCTCCTGAGCCACAGGTGGGAGGAGCTAACCAATGTCCACCTGAAACTCCACGACAAAACTCAACTGAGGCAGAACAAGAACCAGCACACCCCCTACCCCCCCCCCAACCCAATTGCTAAATATTACTGACCCAATTACCAAACTAATTGCAGACTGAAGCAGCAGCCCGAATGCCCTCAGCCACCGCTGACCCAACTCTGGCCGTGTTTCGACGAGTCACGTGGCCGACTGCAAGCGCGGGGTGGGGGGGGCGGACGAACACCTAGCTGACCGACTAGTCACTGGCTACAGACTAGGCAGAGACAAAACAGGGAAACGTCTCAAACTGCTTTTTTATTACATCTTAAATAACAGTACATTTTAATATAGTTTCTATCTTGCATCCAGCTTTCTGCAGTACACTGAAAGACTTTGAAATTAAATACAAAAAAGTGAAGTGGATACAGTGGTGCAGCTCTACACTTCTCATGGAAAGAGAAAAGGAAATTCATTCATTGTTTATTATTATTTTTAACTCCAGGCCTAACACACAATTACATCACATTTTTTTGTACAGTGTCGCATAGGAAACAACGAAATGGAAGATGGCTAGCTAAGAATGGCGTCTGTCGCAGGAAAGGGGCGTTCCTGCCCACCAAAGGCTGGCCTTGTTTGGGAAAAATTTATTTATTTATTTTTTACAGTAAATTAAGTCAGAAAATCCTGTGTTACAAAATGATTCTAGCACTCGTTTCGGTACTGGGGAAAACGGGCTACTACGTAAATGAATCTCTTAGCCGGATGTGTGCGCATGCGTGTTTGAGTGTGTGCGTGTGTGTGAGTGTGTGTGAGGTGGTGTGGTTATTTCACAACAAATCATCGTAAATGTGGACAGCGTGGGTTTGATGTGCGTTTCCGTGCCTGGCTCAGACTTGGGGGGGGGGGGGGGGAAAAAACGAAACCCAAAAAGCCACCCCCCCCCCCCCCCGGGCGGACCCCCACCCCCCCCCCCCCCCCCGGAACAGTGGTGTGTCACTCTAGGAGTCCCACCACCCCAGGCTGAAACTTTTGTATTTTTTTTAACGCCTTAAGATAAACATACCAGTTTCACTCATTTTTCGGCAACTTGTACATTTCATTCACACAGAAGGAACTACATTTCCAAGCACGGAACAGACCCCCAGATTAAACAGGAAGTTCCTGAGGGAGATTCCTTGAACACACACCCAGACGCACAGCCACACACACGCACAGCCCTGGCCTATTAATAAAAAAGGAAATACAGATGTGTGGTTAATCTTAAATTATTCTATATTACCCAATAACAATGTACAAGGACAAAATGTTGTTAACTGCTCTCTTTGTTTGTAAAAACAAGCATTCATCACCTTTATCAGTATGTGCTTGGTTAGCAGATGCTTTTACGTTACTCAGTATATTCAAAGTTTCCATTTGTGGCAAGACAGAAAAACAGTAAGGAAATGTAAAAGGAATAACCATCCAGAACTAACCGTACAGAGGTGGCATCCTCTGAAAGCTGGCTGGAATTTCCAATAAAGCTCTCACCATTTGCTTGTGGTATATTAACTTTCCTCAGTAAAGCTGGAGAAAAAATGGCAGGCTTCTGTATTAAAACTTATCTACAAACTGAAATCCAAAATACTTAGACTGAGACAAAAAAAAAAAAAACCTCATTCTCCTCTGAACACAAACCAGGAGTTTCACCCACAGAATCCTTGAAACGAAAAGGAAAAATTAAAAACTAACCATTTTGTACAATTACACTCCAACATTTCTTTTCAAGATACATGACACTTTCGCATGGGATGATAGTGTTGTGTTTTTCCTATTTCAAGGTAGAAACATAAAATGGTCCCAGGAAAAAAAAAAAAAAAAAAGAAATTCACAATTTTTCTTGTTACTCATTTCATACCACAGGGATTCTCCACTTCTCTTATCTCGGGGGCTATCAATTGTGCTCTTATTTTTATTTTTCGTTTTGGAGGAAGAGGAAAGGCCTTTTCCCGTTGAAGGTTCCTGGGGCTTTCGTTACAGTTCTTTTGTGTTGTTTGAGAAGATCAGATATGCAATGAAGTTTAACTTTAAATGTTGGAATGGTCTTCCAGTCGAATTGAATCCGAATGCAGCCTGCAGAGGAGGGAGAGGACACCCATTCACTCATTGCTCCGAGGGGGGTGGGTGATGCTGTACTCTTCTTCACCAGCAGAGGCAGCAAGATCACAAAGAACACATTGCTCCCCTAGCACTCAACCATGACCAGCCTACACTTTAAGCCTAAATTTATCAGTTTTATTTGCTCCCCAGAGTATAAGAACGATTTTTGGGCCAGTTTAAGGCCACCCCTCTAATCCCGGTCATCCAAGAACAGCAAAGAGTTTTAGTATATGGTCAAAAGTTGTAGCATATTTTTAGTGTCATAACTTAAATCCGGAGTATATTCCATCTAAACTGACCATCATCTTCAAGGATGAAGCAGTAACTTATCTGCTAAAGGCGACCCTCACTCACCTCCAGGCCTCAGTTCCAGATCTTAAGGAAACTGTCCCATGAGCCAGTGGCTACCGCCATGCCGTCATCTGTCACCCCCAAACAGCTGACGCGGTTGTCGTGACCTGCCAGCACCCCTGGAAACGCGGCAAATGAAGAGCCATAGTTATGATTTTAGGCACGACTGTAGATTTTCAGTCAAGCCCACAAACAGTGCGGCTTTGGCTAAATGGAGCTAAGTGGTTCGCTGCTATGTTTGGCTGATCCAATTCATCACAGGATGTGTGTAGGAGATGATAGTTGGTACAGTTGGCACTAAGCTTTCTTGATCGGTGGTCCACCGTTGCAAGGTGACTTACCTGCGCGGTCGGCTTTCAGGGTGTCCCAGACGTTGCAGTTGAAGTCGTCGTATCCGGCCAGCAGCAGCCGGCCGCTCTTGGAGAACGCCACGGAGGTGATGCCGCAGATGATGTTGTCGTGCGAGTACACCATCAGCTCCTGGTCGGCGCGGAGGTCGAAGAGCCTGCAGGTGGCGTCGTCTGAGCCCGTGGCAAAGGCGTTGCCGTTGGGGAAGAACTGTGGTCAGGAAATGGGCAGAAAGACGGAACATGAGCCACGCAGGCGTCTGGGAGAGCATCACAGAGCACGCAAAGCCATTCAGCTACCTGTGACCTAAAACCACCCTGCATGTGAGCATCCGGAAATACCTGGACCGCTGCTGCTTGTGTAAACTAAAAGCAGCTGCTATGTTAATTGAAGGGACCGATCCTTGATCTTTCCGTTTCAATAACTCTTACTAGTTTTCCTTTGCAATGTTATGATGACACATTAGGTTACTGCTGTGTATTGAGGGACGATTGTGAAAATTCATACCAGCTACATTTTCCTAACACTTTCCACAAAAATTATTTTTGTATGACCTGCTCATTGTCCAAGAGACCATAAAATGAAGTTTTTGTATACATTTCAATTTTACTCTCCATGTCCAAAAACAAGAAATACAGTGATTCATTGCAGGCCACAAGAGTCATTTCATTTCACGTTTGTTTCTTAGTTCTGCAGCAGTGAGATCAGAGTAGGGGTGGAGCACTTCTCCGCTTCACACGCATAAGAGAGCGAGCAGCCCGGCAGCCGAGGTTCTGAAGCGGCTGAGCACAACATTGCCATCGCTTTGGACTGTCCAGTTAATTAAAACAGTTGAGCGTTTTATTTTATTCTTCCCTGAGGCACACAGGTGATATAGGTCTAGTGTGAAATTATATTTCACAGACAGCAGTTACCAGCATGTAAACAAAACGGCACATGCGAAAACCGATGCCCTTCTGTAAACGGGCGAGGGAGAAGGCAGACATACACAGATGGCGTTGATGTCGGACTCATGGCCGGTGAATGTCTGCCTGCACATGCCTTCCCGCACATCCCACAGCTTGGCGGAGGCGTCACAGGCCCCCGAGACGAACAGCCGGCTGTCAGGAGCCAGCGAGAGACTCATGACATCGCCGGTGTGGCCGGCGAATGTGGTCGTCTGCTGGCCGGTCTCGATGTCCCAGAGGGCGCTGAGGAATGGACACGTGATTAGAACTTCAGTTCTTGGTGGGGGGAGGAATTTCATCCAGTGTGATTCACCAATCAGATTAAAACTAGAGAGCTACAGATTAAGTTAATAAGCAACGATACATGTTGATCACATGATCTAGCACTGATTAGTCCAAACTGACAGAACCAGACCCATATAATACCCCCCCCACACACACACACACTCACCAAGTGGTGTCTCCAGAGCTTGTAACAATCTGGTTGTCATCCAGAAAACGGCAGCAGGACAGGTAACCTGTCGAGGGACAGCAGAGGGACCTCAGAATTCATATACTAAAAAAGGAGATTCAAGAGAATCTCAATTCTCAGTGGGCCTGACATCAGCTGCTTTTGTAATCACTGATTGGCTGAAACCTACACAAGTCCACCCGGAATGGTTCTGTAGTCAGTAATCAGCAACCCTATATACTGTAACACCTTCCTAAGCACATTCTCAAGCAATGAATGACCTTAAGTGTGAACCCTGTCTTTGCCAAACACAACAAACCCAAGTCACATGGTGCAATCAAACCTTGCGGAATTTGGCCAGGTTGTGGTGCAATGGGACTCAAATCTCCCAGAGCCACAGTGCAGAGCTGAAAGACAAGGAGCTGGTCGGAGGCCGTCCGCCGATACCTGTGTGTCCGGCCAGCTCGCGGCTCACGCGCACGTTGCCCTCGCGGGTCTTCAGGTTGTAGATGGAGCAGATGTTATCCAGGCCGCCGCAGGCCACGTAGTTCCCAGAAGGCGCGTAGGCGCAGGTCATGACCCAGGAGGAACGGAGAGGGATGGCATGCACCTGCGTGGGGGGATGCGGTACATTAACACCAAGGCGCTCAGCTGCTCCTGCAGCCACTTTCAGGATACACTGGCATACAGGAACCAGGCCGTACCCAAGCCGTACCACACAGTTACTAGTCACAGTGTGGTTCCAGCTCGCTCCGGGTTTCCACTGCAGAAGGTTCAGCTTGATAAAGGAGAGCGACAGTGACGCAACACTGAAGAGACGCTTATTTACTGTTCACACTGTGTACATTATGATTTACTATGTGCTAATTTCCACTAGCACATCTGTGAGAATCGCCGTGTTAGCATCAAGCGCTAGTTGAATTTCCATTTGCTTGCTAAAACTTGTATCACAAATCCATTCCATTCAGCCATTCTATGGTACATTTTTAAGGAGGGGTAGGAAATATATTTAATGTTCTGAGTTATCGACAATGCATTAATACATTTACCACTAATAATGAGCAATATATAAGAACATAAATTTACAAACGAGAGGAGGCCATTCGGCCCATCAAGCTCGTTTGGGGAGAACTTAACTAATAGCTGAGTTGTTAAAATCTTATCTGGCTCTGATTTAAAGGAACCCAGGGTTTTAGCTTCCGCTGCACTAGCAGGAAGACTATTCTATACTCTAACTACACGCTGTGTAAAGAAGTGCTTCCTCAAATTTGTTTTAAAATGTTCTCCCGCTAATATGGAATATGCTCACGCATATCAATACAGATCGTCAGTATCTGAGCATTTTGACCGATCCGATGGTGGTGAGGCAGCCATGTCAGCACGGGAAAGGCTCAGGTTCAGCTTACATAATTTAAAAGGAAAACCGTCTCTTCGCGGTACGGCTCGGATACAGCTTGGTTCTTGGTGGAAGTGGAAAAGTCCCACGACCAGCCTACACCCATTCTGGCTAAAGTCATTGCTACGTTCCATTTGATCTTGCAACTTGGAAATTCTGAGTTCCTAGTCATGGATTTCAACTGAAACGCCCCCTGAAGTCAGAATTCTGACTTGTCAACTCAGTGGAATCTACACAACCCTGAGCTCAGAATCCAAGATGGCTGCACCCATTATCAACAGAAGTTAAAGCTGTAGTTTTATACTGTTTATTAGCACTTTGTCTTGTTTGCGGCTCATTAATTCGGTCGTACACGCAATACTGTCCAACTTATCTGTTGACAGTTTACTACAGAGTTTTATGCGCAAAACAAAGCATAATGCATTGCGAACAATGCTTAACAATTAGCCAGAGGCCCGTTTCAGAAAGCAGGATTTCTTGCTGAACCACATGATTTGTAAGATTTAAGGTAGTCTGGGCTAAATGTAATTGAACGAAGGTGAAGGCCATTTAAATTGAGGCAAATAAAATCCAACAAGTAATCCAGCTAAGCAAGAAATCTTGCTAGTATATATCAGTATTAGCCAATATTCATTAAAAATAAAGATATTGGAATCTGTCTGATGTGCCAATCTCGGCTGATATCGCCGGCCAACATTTGAACTGACAATATTCAAAGTCAGCAACATCAGAGCTAAATACACCTACTAAAATAAAGGAGATTAGTACACTGGACAATCAGCCACTATCTACAGTGGATGAGGGATTTCGTCGGCTCATTCACCACTTATAGTCTAACACGCACTAGGCGATCTGTACCGTCCCTGAGCACGTTTAACGCCTGAAGTCCAGTTTGTTTGACTATAGTGATCGCGCCATATTCTGCACAAGCACGGTACGCTTAACCGTACCTGAGACCACTGAAAGAGAAGGGCCAGAGCACGGCTTTGGACAGAGTACACATCTAGCGTGATCGCCAACTGTGCTCAGGCACGGAACACGGACATGACGTCAATGATGTGACTGACACACGCATGCACACATGTACATTACACATTGACTGGACCCGGAAAGAACAGATCAGTAAAGTAGGCTGTACAGAAATTGTGTTGCAAAACAAAAACAAAAAGATTACACACAGATCACAAAATAACATTGTTCTGCTAATCAGCGGCGGCAAATTTCACTGCCGGTAATTCCTCACCTCCCACCCCCCCAGCGAGTCGCTCAGGTCATTCGGTTATCAGTATAAACGACATCGGGCAAAAATATATCGTTATCAGTGTCGATCGAAATACCCACTGGGATGCACCAATATCATGTAGGCAAACAGCATACCTTGTTGGTGGTGTAGCTGTCCCAGATGATTAGCTTTCCATCCTGGGAGGCACTGACAAGGAGCCTGCAAGGCAGTGCAAAATCATTACTACTACTTTACATCGCTGAGCAATTCCTCGGCCTTATGACACCACGGTACTTGAACTCACCTGGAGTCGGTGCCCCAGTGCATGGCGTAGATCTTAGCCAGGTGACCTCTCAGGGTCCTCCGAGTGCGCATCTGGATCCGACCAACGGGATCCACGTTCGCCGTGATCTGGGCAGACCAACAGAGTGCTGTCAGTCAGCACCTCGCCGTAAGGTCCAAGCGGCTGCTAGGAACTCCATCATGGCAATTTGTGCCCCTCTGACAGATCCTACTTCTATGACTTGGCAGATTGACACAATGCGCTGAGCTAAAATTGAGTGCTATCTTTACATGCATCTTCATGGACAATAGTGGTTTCTGACAGAAAGTCAGGTATCACTGGACTCTACTCCTGCCCCAAAACTGGTTCTTCAGAACAGTTCCTCACCTGGGACAAGGTGGCATCTGCACAGGCTTTCCTGGCATCCTGAAAGCAAGCACAGGGAGAAAATGCAGAAGATCAACATTTTAACTGCAACCTTTCAGACTTGTTCAGGTCATCTGAAGTGTCTGTGTGGGTGGCAGGGGATGTCCCCTCACTCTGATCTGGTTCTTGAGTTGCTCAGCCTCCTGGCGTAGCTGGTCCAGTTCACTCATCTTCCTCTAAACAGTAGACTTCACTCTGGCCGGCGAGACACTGGCAAATCTGGAAAGGGAGGAACATAAGGTTTTCTCCATCAAAACGGCAGCACAAACAGCCCTCATAGTCACTTCGGGGCCCGCTGATCCTCTGTTCGTGGAACAACCATGCAGGTGTTGGTGAAACAGCCTCACGCTAGAGGGTATCACGCCAATGTGTGTCACGGTAACCAGCTGCTGGTATGTTGTATGCAGGGCTGCATCAATTAATCAAATTCATTAATAATAAAATAGCCGACTATGAATTTTGTCATTGATTAGTTGCATTTTTTGGTTGGTTGCGTAAATTGTGTATAATTACAACATCATCAACAATAACATTGGTGTGCCAAGAACCATCGTTAGCGGAGACAGCAGGTTTCTCTGAGGAGGGTCGACACAAGTCCAAACATCAAAAGTGTGGGACAATGTTAATCTTGCATCGTCAATGAGTGAAGTATCCAGCAACATCTGCCAAACCAGTGTATCAAAGAATGATCCTCTGAGGGCTTTAATGTTACACAAATTCGTCACATACCGCTCTCTTACATAATTTTCAGTTTGGAATGCGCAAGGAAGAATAAATTTCTTGACACCGGCGAAACCTAAATCCACAACTAGATGTTCAAAACACAAAACATTATACTAATTGTGGCTGCGAGTTTGTTACGCCTAGTGCTGGAGAGCTCAAAGACCTTCCCCATGTCAGCAAAATCAGTAGTTTGGGAACATCTTGGTTTCCCACTAAATTACACCAATATCAGAGAGAAAGTAGTTGATGAATCAATGACTGTCTGTTGACTATATTACACTGAATGCTGATTATGTTAGCGGAAACACATCCAACATGCTAACTCATTTGAGACTAACATACAAGTGTTTGTATGACTAGAGCAAGGCAGAAACCTCCTTTACGGGTTGGGTTTAAAATGCCACGGAGCGACTGCGTAAGGCTACAGGGGCGATCATCGGTGCAGATATGCAGCTATACTCAAAACTGAGGTCAGTACCGATATGCAGCTATACTCA